ACACAACCAAGAATCTGAATCTTTTAGAAAAACACAGGGAAAAATCCCGAGATCGATTACTCTGGGTTAAGTGGGTTTATTGGCAGCTTAATCGGATGCATTCAAAATGCATATGAATGACAAAGGTCCAAAACACACTGCAGAAATAATCCAGTTTGAGACGGCTTTAACTGCCCTGGCTCAGTGCTAGGAAATCCTGAGAACTGTAGTTTTGTGAGACATGTAGCCTTCTCCGTCAGAGAGCTCTGGTGCCATGATAAACTATAGCTCCCAGGATTCCTTAGCAGTGAGCCAGGGCGGTTAAAGCCGTCTCAAACTGGATTATTTCTGCAGTGTGTTTTGGGCCAAAGATTCAACCCAGATTCTACCTGGATCATTTGCACCGTCTGAAGAATCCCCTGGAAGAAAACTGGAAAACATCTGGAAAGGAAGAGGCAAAAGGAGAGGAAGACCGCAAAACTCCCGGAGGGAAACTGAGGCAAGGGAGCAATACCTCATCTTTGCCAAGGAGTACTTTGGTGGTGAGCAAAGGTCGGCTGACGTTGTCCGCCACCACGTTGGGCTCTACGGAGACGAAGGTCCCCATCTTGCCGTACTGGGTCACCACCACCAGGATCGTGTTTCCAAAATCTGTGCACACCACCTGCGTCGGGATGCCCCGGATCACTTCATCGGCCTGCTTCGAAGCCAGGATGGATTCGGCAGCCATAGCGGTAGTCTTAAATAAAAATTAAAATGCAAGAGAGAAATCCCCCCCCCCCAAAAAAACAACAGTTAACCATTGTTCCATTCGAACCCAGCAACTCGCAAAGGTCATGATACATAGCAGGCCCTTTCCCCTTTAAGGGCCGAGGGACTTCGGCTCCCAGAATCCCAGCAGCTATTGGCCAACATGGGACTATTGGCCAACATGGCTGAGGCTTCTGGGAGCTGAAGTCCCTTGGCCCTTAAAGGGGAAAGGTTGCCTACCCCTGATATACAGTGATCCCTCCGTGTTTGCTGGGGTTAGGGGCACAGGACCCCCGTGACAGATTTAAAAAAACAAATTCTTAAATTCTTAA